ACCAAGATACTTCTTGCCCTTCTCAATCGATTTCTCGTAGTCGATAACCTATCATGGAAGCAAAGCAGATAATATCGCCTCACTTTCGGAAAAAATTTTGGATGAAATTTTTTCTTTGTTTCAAAAGTATGTGCACACTTGAAGAAGATCAGATTTTGGCGCCGAATTTTCCACCGATTTCAATCCGACTTTGCTGTTTTCATTTCGTCATCATGTCAATTCGCGGCATACTTCTTCCTGAAGATGAGCAAGCTCAGATCAAGGTTCTGCATGATAATGAACGTTCCAATCTAGAAATCGCACGATAACTTGGTCGTTCTCCTTAATGCATTCGAAGATTTATCTGGCACCCTGATAATTATACTCAGCACACACTCCGCTCCATCCACGATCCTTGACTGCTCAGAACAACAAAAGAGTAGCCCACATCCTGTCGAATTCTTCATTGACAGTCCGAGCTCAGATTTTTATTCCAGCCTCGAAAATGACCACTAAGCCCTCATCCGCTCAAATGAATACACCACTCGACAGACGCTGAGAAAGGCTACTCACTTCAAGGCCCAGCACAAGTTAGCCACATTGGAGTCTGCTCGTACAACATGGCAACATAGGATAGGACACCGGGCGAAGACACGGTTTTTCGAGAATTTCCTATTTTCAAAACAAGCAACTTTTTATGACTTTCTCTCCTCAGGTAATCTTAACTCATGGAAAGAGTTCGATCTTGACGGGCCGGGTGGATTTTGCTACTACTGGAGAGGCTTGGCCGTGAGTCGCTCGTGCTCTCGAGAAGGAATTTCGGAAGAGGCCCGTTGATGGGTCTGCGGCGGTTTCGCAATCAGCGGAAATTCAGAAGTTGCCGTTCCATTATTGCGTATGAACTGTAAAGAATACCAAGCAGTGCTCCAATGTCACCTGTTGCCTTCTCCTAGCGAAGCGGAGCGAAAATTGCATTTTTGGCAACAGGACCACGTGTATTTCGATGCTTCGCAATCTACCAAAGAATGGCCTTAACCAGATGATGCTAAAGCGATAGATTGGCTTGTGTGTCCTCTTTTCTGCAACCCTATAGGGAGCCCTTGATCAAGGCGTTAACTTTAGCAGCCGGCAGTATAATACCGCGGATGAACTGAAGGCGGCGGTAGAGGATATTCGATTACGAGAAATCGATTGAGAAGGATTTCATAGCAAGAAACCTCATGGTTCCCTTTCAAACGTGAATTTTGAGGGTGTGCACATACTTTTGAAACAAAGAAAAAAATTTCATCCAAAATTTTCTTTCGAAAGTGAGGCGATATTATCTGCTTTGCTTCCATTGATAGGTTATCGACTACGAGAAATCGATTGAGAAGGATTTCATAGCACGAAACCTCATGGTTCCCTTTCAAACGTGAATTTTGAGGGTGTGCACATACTTTTGAAACGCACTGTAGTATTTCAG